TTTCTTAATTCTTAATGCCTTATCTTGGCACTCAAATCTCTTCACAATGGAGTTTCAATCTACTTTCCCTCCCATTTTGTGTGCAATGAATGGTTTATTGAAGGACTAGTTATATTAGGAGAAAAGTTGAAAACAACCTTAATGTCCAGCTTTAGGATAATGTTTGAATAATGTATGATGCACTCACATATTGCTAACAGCTATCACTTACTTGGTGCTGACTATGCCATATGTTGGTCTAAGCACTTTTAATATAATTAACGCATTTAATCTTTAGGACCACTTTATGAGGTAGGTACTACTATCCACATTTTACAGGTAAAAAACAGAGCCAGAGAGCTTAATTAATTTATCCAAGATTGTACAGCTAGGAGTTAACAGAGTCAAGATTCAAACTCAGGCCACTGACTCTAGAGTCAGTTCTCTCAAATTAAACTGTCTCTTAGATAGCAAACAAATGGTACAATAAACCACTAATAACTTGCCTGAGAATGTTTGCTTTACATCTAATAAGGGCTGAAATGAGTGAATAATTTATTAAATATATATAAGAAATGCTTGTAATATACTCTAAATGGGGTAGAAAGCAGGGTATCACTGATACACACTATTATTTCTATTTGATAAGTTCTAGAAAAATGCACAGGGAATGACTAGATGAAAATAGGCCAAAGATTAATTCTACTTGTGGCTGTGGACCAAAAAGGGGCCACACACTAAACCTGGCAAGCTCAAGGGAGGCCTGCATGGTGGGCCTTACAAACTCAGAGACTGAAAGTAACCTCATAGAATGGTCTGGATGTAAAAAATTCTGACTAAAAGCGAGGGCTTGTAGCTCTCTTTGGAGAGAGATGTGTAAAACACATGTGGGTGAAGCACAATAAACAATGGCATAATCCTTGACAAAGGTCAATCCTTACCTTAAGTGAGTCTGTCTATTGTCTTTTTGCATCTAAGATAACATACCTTTGAAAATAGCAGAGTAATTCTTTTTTTCAGACCCCTCAGAGCACAACAGAATTCCTCATTATTATCTTGTTGCCCACCTATCATTTTTATGTGCTATAAATGTTGACTATTCTGTACTCACGAATATGAAAGAAATATGTGTCTCTCTGTTCTACTTTTTATTCAGCTTCAGAGATGGTCCTGCTCTGCTTTCTCCTGCCTCCCTAATCTACCACCAATGGATTTCATGTAACCCTTCTTACGTTTCCTCCTTTGGTTCTAATGTATCAAATAAGCTGTAAAACTACCATTCTCTGCAACATTTTCTCAGTCCATTGAGATTTTGTTTCCTGGTAATTGTCATCAGTTTGGCTCAAATAAACTTATAAGACATTTTCTTAGGCTGGACATTCTTTCGTCGACATGGCTGATGGGATGCCAATTTTTCCACCTTGCTCCTTTATACTTGTCTAACTTTTCTGAATTTCCTAAAGCGAACTTCATCTGTAAAATCAGGAAAAAAACTGCTAAAAATAGATTTTTTTTTTTTGAAAAACATGAGCCTATATAGAAGTAGATTTGGAACAAATCATCAACAGGCATCAAATACTGATTTTTTTCCCCTAAAACATTTGTTAATTTCAATGAATTTTCATTAACCAACACACTCTCTTCCACAAAGCCTGACATTACTGCAGATTATTAAGGCGGTCATTCGCAGGTCATGAATACACAGGAGGTAGCTTTCATTTTGGTTCTGATAGATATCCCTTGAGAGAAGGCAATTTACTGGATCTTTTCGAGAGAATTTATTATCAGTATCTTTGATTCCTCAGACTCCCCTTGCCCCTGTATTTCCTGCCATTCCTGGTACATCTTATAAGTCCTGCCCCCAGGCAGTAGAGCAGCAGTTTTGGCAGCTACAGCCTGCGAAGTGTCACTGACAGTTTGATGAGCTTGTCCAGCCTTTTGCAGCCCCAGGGCCAGACATGATATGAAGGAAAGAGGCCTTGGTTTCAAGGCATAGCTCAACACTCACTAATAGACTTTAAGCAACTCACTTTACCTCTGAGCCTCAGGGTTCTCATCTGTAAATGGGGATGATAAAGAGCCTTACCTAACTCACAGGTTACTGTGAGTCAAAGAGGACTCAAGTGGAGGATAATGTATATGCAAGTTATTTGTAAATGTAAGGGTCTAAATTCATTTGAATTGTATGTATGTGTGTGTGTGTGTGTGTGTGTGTGTGTGTGTGTGTGTGTGTGTGTATCTTCCTACTTTCTCATGCCCTTGGAGCCACTGAGAGAGGCTAATTGAAATTAAAGTTAATTAACATTAAAATGGAGACATCTAGAGAGGAGAACCTTGATGAGGAGGGAACTGGAAGAGTATTGTGGGATAAGGAGGGATGTTGAGGAGGGAAGTGTAGAAATGTGAGAGGTGAATCAGGAGTAGAACTTCGGAGACAGGAATGCTGCAGGCAGATATTTAAGTCTTGTCTCATGATGTTTGTTGTTAACTCCATTTTGTTTCCTTAAGAAAACTTCTTTAAAGACTTCTCTAACTTTTTCGTATTCTTGGAGTGAGGTTTGTAGTCATCCCCTTGCCCCATGTCTTAATTGCCTGCTAAGATTGGCCTTAAGACAAGAATAGAAAGAGCTCAAGAAGACTTAAACACACTAGGGTTCTAAAGTGATGCTTCCTCCTCTGAATGAGGATTGATTGAGAACATACACATAGACTGCCTTGCACACAGTAGATGTTTAGCACATGGCGATTATTATTATTGTGAACTAGGAGATATTTTGCTAAAACAGAAGTGATTTGATAATGGAGACTTTCTTTTTCTGTGTCTCTCCTAGGACAAGGCTGGACATTGAAGTTGATTGGGTGAAATGCAGTCCAACCACACCTGTGCCCACATAATAGGTTCATTTCTCTGACCTATCCTGATCATTCCATGCTCATACCCTACCTACTCTGAGTTCTTAGAGCCACAAGGCCACTGCTTGCTGTACTAGGCACTATGGGGCTACCATCTTCCTTGTCTGAGGCTATGGTCCTCCCATGAAGCCTGTCTCTAGTGTTAAGCTTCTGTTCTCTAGCATCCTCTCCTGACCCCACTCCAAGCTCCACTGGCCCATCTGTGCAGGGACAGCAGCAGCAGTCCCTGGGTGCTTAAATTAGAGGTACTATTATTCTATTTCTATTTTCTGACTTAGGTTCTATATACTTAGTTGTGTATAGGTATCTTTACCCTTGAAACTGACAGCACTGAGACCCAAGGCAGGGGGCATAGACAGATCACAGAGCAGTTCTTTTAACCCTGAGTCTACTCTCATATTGGACAATAGGTGCTGAAAGCAGGCAGAGAAGAACTGGGAAGGCTATTTAAGGGTCTTAATGAGCACCGATAGCAAGGTGAAGAAGAAGGGTTTGAGAGGATACGTTTGACTGCTTAACCCTTCTTTATTTTCCCCGTAAGACTTTAATAACATCTCTTCCAATTCAAGAGTGGGTTGAAATATTGTTTGCAAGTGGATTGTTGTAAATGAACATTTTAAGTAGGGCATTATTTGTATTAGCCAGTAAACTGCTTAAAATGATGACTGAGAAAGGCATTTCCTAACGTGTAATTCATGGGCAAAGGCTGAGGTAGTGAGGGGTTGGGGGCTGAGATAGTGTCCAAAGGGAAAGTAGGTGTCTGTACTTCTTAAAGAAAACAACCTGTTAAGGCAGGGGCCCCAAAGACAATGCATATGGAAACCTCATAAATAGGTGGGGGAAGGTGGGACTATCCCTCAACTAATGGTCAACCTCCTGTCTCTCACTTTTGGATCTGATGACCCCAACTGACCAGACAGCAACCTTGAGGGAACAGCCTCCAAAGGTAATAGCTCCACAGCTGCTTCTGCCCTGGAAATTTGCTAGGGGCATCCCTATTTGCCTGATTAAGGCTTTCAATGAATGTGGAAGAGGGTTCGAATCCCAGCTTGTCCATTTCCTGGGTGACTTCAGTTTCCTCAACCATGCAATGAGGCTAAGGCCGCCACCTATCTTATGATGAGGAGAGACAATATAGTAAGCAAAGTGCTTTTGCACCTCAAATAGTAGCTATTATTTGGATGTTGTTTTTTCATTCCCTCTGTCATTGCCACAGCTCCTATTATATATTTATATATCTCCACTGATGGCAGCTTCCAAGCTGTTTTCTGCACTCCATGCTTGCAGTCTCTGTTCCTGCCATTCATTTTTCAGTATACTGCCAGAAAAAATTAGTGTAAAACACAAATATGCATGTTACACCCCTGAATAAAATCTTTTAATAGTTTCCAATGTCCTCATAAATAAAGTCCCAGATCTTCCAGAATAGTCTTATGAGTTTATCTGCTTCCACTTAATCACTCATACATTTTACTGTTATGAGCATCTTCTGTATGCCGGATACTAAGCTAAGTGCTTCATAGAGATCATTTCACATAATCGCGAAAATAACACCGTCATTAATATCTCCACGTTACAGAATATGAAAGGGCGGCTCAGAGAGGCTTAGAGAGGCTTAGGAACACACACCAACACACAGCTAGCTGTTCACAGAGATTTGAGTTCATTCTGCTTGGCACCCTCTCCAACTGGAACTCTGTACAGATCATAATGCTTCTCTGGCAGCTGGGAGGGGCCAGCAGCAGCAGCCCTAGGGGTCCAGGGTCCGGGCGGGAAGAAGTATTTGGAAGAAGGGTATTGGGGCTGAGATGAGGACACGACTTCTCCTTCCCCAGGGAGTGGTCGCCTCGATTTGAAGAGAGAGTTCTGGGCTTGGGCTTCAAGGGCTCACTGTGCGCATCCCGCCTCGTGTACCCAGAAGACTCATACTACTTTTCACGCTCCAGTCCCTCCTCCCCTTCCACACCCTCTTCCCTCCAAGCACAGAACCAGGGGCCAAGAGGGCGCTCAAGAGACATTCGGGAGATTATTGCCTTTGGTAGTCACATCCTCCCTACCCGAGCGGTGGCCCAAGGCCGTTTCCGGCCCTCTTGCAGGGAAGTTTTCTGTTTTGCAGAAGCAGCCGGGGCACGCCAGAGATGGCCGTTGTGCGGAGGTGGCGATTGCTGAACATGAGATTTCCATTAGCCTTCTTCAAGTAGTGAAGGGAAGGAACCTGCTCCCCTCCTCCCGGACCACCCTAACCTGAGGCCACGCTCCCGCCAGCCTGCCGACAGCTTGGTGTGGAAGTCTCCGTGTGCGGAGATTCACCCACACTCCTTCCCTTCTGTATCTGCTGCCTTTGAGAGCACTTAGTATGCGCCACGCGCGATGTTAGGAGGTTCCTGCCTAATTTTGTTGCTTCATATTGACATAAGAAGAATGTCAGGCTCAGAGAGGCTAAGTGACTTGCTTAGGGTCACGCAGCCAGTTGGTAGCCAAGCCAGGATTATAGCTCCCGCTTGTTAGGACAAAAAGCCAGAGAGTGTGGATTCAACTCTCGGGAGCTGTGGGGTGGTCCGGCAAATACAGCCAGCATTTGAGGATCCTTGCCTCACCCGGGTTTCCCCTTCCCCTTGTTCCGGTCCACCATCCTCCCGGGAGGCAGGGTCCTAACATCACGCAGTACCCTAGCTAGGCACTCCCAAACGCTAGGCCTGTTCGCTAGCGACCTCTGGAGGGCCAAACGGGTTCGGGGCTCAGTTTGGCGGGGGACAATTTGCATAACGGAGACCGCTCGCTTACCCCACCCCTCCAGCGGTCTCATCTTCCTCGCTCTCCCAGTCCCCTCTGCCCTTCATCCCCGACCCCCTGCTCCTCCCCAGCAAATCCTCCTTCCGAGACTCCCGAGTGGGTCTCTCAGCTCCCATGCTCTCCTCCCACGGCCCTGCACGGAGTCGGGAGGCACCTGAGAGACGGGAGTCCTGAGCTGGACCGGGGAGGGAAGACGCCTGGGGCACTGCCCAGCGCTAACAAAGGAAGCCAGCTGCTGGCCGGCTGAGTTGCTGAGCAAGCGAAGCAGCCGCAATCTCTGCAGTCGACAGAGCGCAGCGAGTGAGTAGGGGTGCGGTGGGCGACGGCGTAGCCCAGGGTCCTTCCTCGGGAAGAGTGAGGCGAAGGGGCGCAGGAGAGAAAGGGAGCGGTGGGGCCCCAGGGGTACCCAGCTTTCGCAGCGCAGGCTGGCCACCTTTTGGCTGAGGGGTGTCAGTATATTTGTCCTGGGCTAGGGGCCGCCTTGGTTTCTCCCTGGCTCCGCGACCCTGCGGACCCACAACAAACCCACGTGCTCTCTGCCACCAGGAGCCCCGCTTTCTCCAGAGCAACGTCTGTAGGGAAGGAGATGGACACACCTAGCAGAGTATGGGTTCCTTCGCATCCCACCTTCTGGGTTTTCAGACCAGATAAAAGGCCCGCGGCGGGGGTGATGACATAGGCACCATAACAAACGCACGTGAGCCCAGCCCTGGGATCCCGGTGCACAGCAAGTCCTTAAGAGCTGCCCTGCGGAGTCGGGCCATTGTCTCAGCCGCCTGGTAGGGAGAGGCTCTGGGGGCAACGTTTGCGGGAGGAGGACGACAGAGACATTTAAAAGGTACCACTTGGGCATCAGACCCAAGTGCCAGACTTTAAAAGGGAAAAACGAAACCAGAAAGCAGCTACGAAAAGATTACTTCAGGCCGAGACTGTCCCCAGCCGTGGTGTATTACTTGATGTGATCAGGACGACCTCTCAATTCCACCTCACGGAAGTTTCTTAGTGATGGGATTCGATTAAGGGTCTAAGGGCCCCCTCCAAAAAAAAAAAAAAAAAAAAAAAAAAAAAAAAAAAGACTGCCTAGTGCACCATTGTTCCTGCGCTCGGGCGACTGCTTCTGCTGGGAGATCTCGAGCGCCTCTGCAGCCTGCAGAAAGAACCGACCAAATTAAATTGCGCCTGGCGCGGTCTTGCCTTTCATTTGCGTTTTGCCTTGTAGGTCCATGCATCTAGCCTGCCTGGGCGTCATCCGGCCTTTTTGGCTTGTTATGCATTTTTACAAGCAAGGCCAGGGTGGTATTATTTTTAGTTCTATCAGAATTTGAGAGAAATTACGAGGCTCGGAAAGAAAAGCCGCCGGTTTGTTTTGCTCTCTGTTTGCTTACATATGCTCAGCTCAGCTTTGCAGATCTTGGTTAACCAGACCTGTTGAGCCAGCAGTGAGACGGTTGGCCTTTTAGGTGATGATATTGGTGCAGGAGTGAGCCCCTAAGATTGTGGGGGTAGGTAGTCTGTGTAGGAATGGATGCACCTCTGCCTGAATGTGCTTGCTGAGCAATTGGGCTGTGGCTTCGCCTTGGTTAGTATCGTCCGAGATTAACTTGGGGAGAACTGGGGGCCCTCCAGCCCCACACCACTGTCATTTAGAGTCCAGAGAGCATCTACTGAACCCTCTTATTTTATAGGCAGGGAATGGAGACCTGGAGAGTTCAGCCACTCGAGCAAGTTTAAACCGAGTATCTGCGACAGAGGGAGGACTTGAGTATGGGTCTCCTAGCTCACACACCGCACACCGCCATGCGGGCAACTGTGAGCAAAGCAGAATTTTGTGGTTGGCTTAAAAGGCAGTGGCCTTAGGCAGAATAGAGTTGAACAAAGAAAGTAATTCAGATTGAAAGCTGCACCCTTCCATTATCCTTTTCAAAAGTTCTTTATGCATTTGAGAAAAAGATTTAGTAATTCCTTACTCTCCTTCCAACTTTTCATAAGCTTAGTTATTTTTCTCCCTTTCCTCTCAAACTGGAATAGAGCCAACTATGGAGTCTTAGATGTTTTGCCTCTCATCCCAGTGCCAGGAAGCCTTTGTTTGGGCATAAGCATGGGCGGTTGACATCAGTCTGCTGGGAAGAAAGTGTCTCTTAGCGGGCTACTCCTGAGCCACTTGTAGGAAAACAAAGCATTGTTTTCGTTGCTTTTATTTAATTAATTAATTATTATTATCTTTTTTAAATGAGAGTTCCAGGGAAGTAGCTGCTTATTTTTGTATTTGGCAAAGGAAAAATTGGAAAACCAAAAAAGCACTTGGAGTCTGGATTTCCCCAAAGCTAATGTACCATTTTGCCCTGTCCCTATATATCCTGGCTATACTTGTCTTTTCTTAGCATGTCTAGGGTGTTTCATTTTCATGGTGCTTCTGCTTGGCATTTAAGGAACTTTAGAAATCTTGTCAAAACTTTTTATTTCCCAGATGAGAAAACTGAGGCCCAGGGAGGAGAAATTACTTGCCTAAGGACACTGAGCAATGAGTCTTTTAGTGCCTCTTTTTGCATAAAAAGGAAACTGTTGCACGAAACGACTTTTTTTGTTGATAACTCACAGTAAAGTCAAAGTTATGACGATTGTTATAACAACACTCTTTAAGTCAGAGAATGCATTCCTTAAGGATTCAAATAGATTTTGATTATTAAACAAAACCATAGATCTCAATGGTAGATCCAGTGAGGAGTATTACAGTTATCATTGGGGATCAGTTTTCTTCAGTGCTTACTAAATGATTCACTTTACTCTTGCCCTGGGCTCCCACATATTCCTTTTTCCAAGTAGAGAGCTGCTTTGAGTATAATCATAAAAAAAAGGGCAGTAAAAGGTCAGAGGAAAGAGACCCAGTTTAGCTCTTTGTGGTATTTAACTTCTTGGGCTCCAGTTTCCTTTTTTGTACAGTGAGAGTACCTCCTGCCCAGTGTCTGCACAGGCTGTTTTAGTGGGGTGGAAGATACTTAAGCCTTAGATTCAGAGGAGTGGATTTGTCATCCCTCTTCTCTCCTGTGTTCCCTGAGAACCAGCAGGCTGCAACCACATTGTATAATGTGAGAAGAACTTGTATGTACCTCCTGGAGTTGTTGTGGCTATTAAGTCATGTGACCCATGCTTGTGACTGTTCAGACCTCTTGGCAGGTTTGGGTGCATCAGTGTTTTAAGTGGTAGAGAATGATAGTGGGAGAATAACCCTGGAGGGTAAGCCCTGTGCTCACGAGACCCTACCTAGACGCAAAGAGGTGTAAATGTTTGCCAATCTGTAAAGGGGGCCTTCGGGTGGTTGTGAAATGTATGTGACTCTAAGGTAAATAAACTTAGTAAGAACCAAATCAAAAACAAAACTAGAACTCTCAGGTGCAAGTGAGTGAAACCAAAAGTCATTCCATTCATTCATTCATTCCATATTTACTGCTAAGCAGGCGGGTGGGGAGTGGTGTCCTGTGCTGAGCCTGGAGTTACAAAGAACACAACCCTTCCTTGCCTCGCCACCCTTGTTCAGAACACCTCAGAAACTGCCCTCAGAAGCCCATGGAAAACAGATCTAATTTATCTCAATATTGACCTCTGGGTTGTGGGTGGGTAGGGGGCTTTTCTTCATGAGTCAGACAAGAGCAAGTAGTAAATTAGGGAGCGGAAGAGGGAAAGCTTCAAAGAGAATGTGGCTCTCCACAAATGTGAGGATGTGGCAGCATTAAAATTGACGGGAATAATTCATTAAAAAAACTCACAGTGATCTTCTGGAACATTAGAGTCCTGAAATTTGCTCAGACCTGGTGTCAGGGATTTGTTCAATAAGAACCAAATTGGGGAAAAATTTTTCTTGCTTGTCTGCATGCATACTGCATGTATTCTGATTTTGATAGATGTATTTTCCATGGGCTAGTATGTCACAGTAACATAGTAAGCAATGCAGTTCCACATTAAAACACTGGGGTAAGAGGGTCAGGTTACCCTTCAGAATCAATTTGGTGATTTATATTTTTCTTTTTCTTTTCTTTTATTTATATATATTAATTAATTTATT